CAACAAATCTTTCACCCTTGCCAATTGCCTTCAAGCTGTGCAGGTCCTCAACAACACAGTAATTTGTGAGAAATCTAATACTTATATATGAACCCTTGGTTAATGAGCTAATAGATAGCAGGTTGAACTTGAATTGAGGCATAGACAGGATATCAATGAGATTGAGATCACGAAGATTTCAATATTCACAAATATTATGGTTTATTACCATATTTATGTATATATATTGTAATTTAGGTAGTAATTACAGTTTACCTAAATTGTATCATATTACCATGTACATACGGGATATTCATCTATATAATACAAGGTATCTCGAACGGGAAGTTCATTCAGTTAAAATATTTACATGGTATCAGAGCTTGCCTTTAGAACTCATCGCTTAAAATAAGGTGAGCCAAAATTCAAATGCTGAGCAGGAAGTCGATTAATCAGATATACAGCTGTGGAAAGAGCTTTGACCCAAAACTTGGGTGGAATCGAAGATTCGAAGACAGGACATCTTCGAGTACCAATTCAGATGTTAGTATTACATTGCAGTGAAATGTAAAGGAATTTTTGTGTGATTTGGCAATGTAACATGTGTTCTGAACTACCTTCAATGTGTGAAAAGCTGAACGACTGAAACAAATATGGCTAGTTGCCCCTGAGTCCACCACATAATATCTAGGGGAGTTGAATATTAGATTGAGAGAGGTGGAGAGACATACCTAACACATGACTTGAATTGGTATTGGCTTCAGCATTAACCTTTGTTGCAGAGAGGTGTGCTTAACATGCTCATCAATTGTTGGTATTGATTAGGATTCAACTTTTGCATAAAGTCACCAACATTGCCATGTGTTTGGTCTGAAATAGAAGTAGTTTGGTTAGCAATAGCATGATTTGTTTGATTAGTATAACCTGATTGATTGCTTGGATCAAATTTCTGCTTTGCCTTATATCTTGGCGGGTAACCATGCAATTTGTAACATTTATCAACAGCACGACCCGCACATCCACAATAAGTGCAGATAGGTCTCTCTTTTTTCTGAATTTTAGTGTAAGATTGTCCTACATTTGACCTCCCAACATCATTCTTAGCATAAAATGTCATGGAATCAACAACATCAGAAGATGTTGCAGCAGTCATATTCACAATCCTTTGATGTTCCTCTTGAGAAATAAGTGCAAACACTTTATTGATTGGGGAAATAGGATCCATAAGCAGCAATTGACCTCTGATTTGGGCAAAAGAATCATATAATCCCATTAAGAATGACATCACATATTCCATGTGATAATGATCAACCCACTTCTTAATACCTCCACAACTAGCGGTGGCAACGAGTCGAGCCCGAGCCGGGAA